GGGTGGCCTCGAGTCTTCAGCTGGACAGTGCCCTGCTGCATTAAGCTCTCAGAGGACAAGGACCAGTCTTATTCATCTGCTTCCGCAAGGCCTCGCTCAAAGAGGGCGCCAAAATATGTGTGTTAAATAAAACTTAATTATCATCACTGAATACAATTGTGAGGACAATGAAGATGTGACTGCTTGCAAAGATATGTCATACACGTATGTGTAAAAAAAACTTGCAGTGGCAGTTTGACAAGTGCAGTTGAATGCATACACGCTTTTCCCCAATGGTACGTAGCACTACAAAATGCAGTAACAAACAAACAAACCCCCCAATAAAAGCAAAAATATCAATTTGCTTATTTTTAGCAACAGAGCATCAAGATACATGTAAGTAATTTTAGAAGGAAAAGTTACCGTATTCTACATTCTGCTCGAAAAATAAACTCCCTTGTAACCCACCCATTCGTTGAGCCACTGGAGTGTTTTGCCCACTGCAGCTGTGACCCTGAGGCTGACCTGTCCGTCCCCCCATGACCACTCCCGTTCGCCCCCTTGCTCTGCAATCAGCTCATATGCTGAGACCAAGTGAACTTGTTTTAAAATTAGAGAAAAGCTATCAGCCCAAAACTTAAAAAAACAAAAAAAGCACCTCTCTACCTAATACAGCACACACAAGTGACATTCCATTACAATACAATGACATCTCTAACAATAGTAACACAATCCAAGGTGACTTCACTTTCTTGCAGCAAATAGCCTATGACTTTGTAAAGCTAAGTAGGCAAGCTCCTGAGCTCACAGATGCTGATGAAATAGCCTTACTTGGTTTCGGTCCGGGAGCCAAGGCGAGAAGGGCTACTAAATTTAGACGCCGAGCTGATTTCATCGCTAACCTGCCCTCCTGACAGGTCTCGGCACACAGAAGGAAGGAGGCACAGCAGACGCCACACGGGATGGGATCAACCTACTTAACAAGCCCAGACGCCACCGAAAGTGGCCACAGAGCACCGGCCCTGCAGGTCCTGGGCGTGGCTGTCAGCCCCACCCTCCGACCCCCCGGGGAGCCACCTGGGACCCAGATCTGTCAATGTGAC